GGATGAAGATGTTCACATCCTGGACAGAGAGGAACGATGGTTTGAGAGAGGAGTAAAGGAGGCCATCTTTGTGAAAAGAAATCGTCCATCATTAAACAGGGGTGGAGGCCTCCGGGTTCAATTGTCCCCCTCTTACAATGCTGTGATTGCTAGTATCACTCAGCCCTCTGTGAATATTAAACAGCCATCAGTGTGCTAATGATCCATTGTTAGGCTGACGGTCCTTCTTGAGCATGTGATCAGCTGGTTTTGGTTGTCAGCAGCAAAACTGGTTGATCCACTCTGAGAAGGTGCTATTTAAGAGACTGAGCTGAATACAGCACCTCAGACTGAGGAAGTCTCTCGGATGAGAGACGAAACGTTTCTACTTTTTTTTTTTGTTGATTTGCTTTTTTTTTTTTTTTTTTTTTTGAATGTCCAGAGGACCAGATTTAACTTTTTTAGATAATCATTGGTTATCATTGTTAGGCTGATTGGTAACTCTAAAATTGTCCCTAGGTGTGAGTGAGAGTGAATGGTTGTTTGTCTCGTTTGTCTCTATGTGGCCCTGTGATGGACTTGCGACCCGTCCAGGGTGTACCCCGCCCCTCGCACAGTGATTGCTGGACATGGGCACCAGCGACCCCCGTGACCCAAAATGGAACAAGCGGGTAAAGAAAATGGATGGATGGAGATAATCATTGGGTAGTTCATCTACAACTGATTAACTTTTGCAAGATGGCTGCCACAGCTAATCAACATTAGCCAACACAAAAACACAGTAGCAGTACAATAACTCAGTTTGTACAGGTATAGAGTCAGAATGTGATGTGGAAGAGTCTTCACATCTGGTCAGTTTTGATGTCTTGTTTCTTCAGGCGTCATCATTCCTGGTCACATTCACCACCACACTCTGAAGAACATGCCGCCTGGCATCTATGACATCTTCATGCAGGTCAGCACTGTTGCCGGCACTGGTCCAGCTGGGAGCCTAGTGAGAGTGAACATAGGTGATTTGAAAATGCACACACACACACATTGTACACCCTGGATCATGAGTGAATCCTAATCTTCACTGTGTGTGTGTGAAGGCTCTGAGGACGTGTCCCTGGAGATGTATGTTGTCGTCTCACTCGCCTTGATGTCACTGGTGCTGATGGTGATGGCCTGCCTGACACAGAACAAAATGTAAGACAATACACACACAAAGCCTGCACAGTGGCCTGTGTGCTGTTTTACTGGGATGCAGTGGCGATGTTAGTCTCTTTTTGAGGGGGTGCTCAAGCACCTCTAAATTTCAACTCAGCACTCCTGAAAAATGAAGAAAGCATCATGAGGATTTTGTGTGATGCTGTATGAATGGGTAAATGAGGCACAGATTGTGTTGTAATGAGCTTTGAGTGTCTTGATAAGATAGAATATATACATATATATATGTGTATATATGTATATAAGTGCCATATTTTCTGCCGTACACGTCGCACCGCCCTATAAGTCGCGTCAGTCCAAATATGTCTAATAAAGTGGAAAAAAACATAAATATGTCACTTCATCGTATGCGTTGCATCTATTAAGTGTCACCACTGCCAACCTGGAAATGTGGGCCGGTGTTTTGCCAAAAATCGACTGGCTGCCAAATGGTGGCCACAGGAGCGTGCACGGGAGGACTTTAACAAGAAGTTAACAAGATTAGCACTTAAAAACAATTATTTGTTCTAAATTATAGTAAAGGTGTGTCTCAGTTGAACTTTTCCTTAATAAATGCACTTTAATGGTCAAATCAAGGCAGCACGGTGGTGCAACTGGTAGAGCTGCCACCTCTCAGTGAGCAGGTCTCTGGTTCAAATCCCGGTCCGGGGACCTTTCTGGGTGGAGTTTGCATGTTCTCTCCGTGCATGTGTGGGTTTTCTCCGGGTGCTCCGGTTTCCTCCCACAGACCAAAAACATGCATGTTAGGCTGATTGGTGACTCTAAATTGTCCCTAGGTGTGAGTGAGAGAGTGAATGGTGTTTGTCTCTATGTGATCCTGTGATGGACTGGAGACCTGTCCAGGGTGTCCCTCGCCCCTCGCACAGTGATTGCTGGACATGGGCACTGGTGACCCCTGTGACCCAAAATGGAAGAAGCAGGTAAAGATAATGGATGGATGGATTAAAGCTAGTTGTTCTTTGTTTTGTGTTTTAAATGTAGATATATGTTGCAACTTCTGGTTGCATTAGTTTAGTCTTTGTTTATGATCCTTAAAAATTCCTATTTGTGACTGAGCTCCTCGTTTACGGCCATCCCACCATGAACACCCGCTCTCGTCTCATCTCAGCTGCTAATCAAGTTCAGGCCTGGTTTGTACTTGGATGGGAGACCACCCTGGGAACACCAGGTGCTGTACGCTTGTGCACTTCTCACAAACACCACCATGGCTGTTCAAGTCAAGAGCCATTGTCAGTACTGGGGGCTAAGCACCCCTTAAGATCAGATCCTAGAATCACCCCTGCTGCTATGTCTCTATTTTTTTACAAAGTGAAAAGTTTTGCTTGGACTGTTTTTTTTTTTGTTGTTTTTTTTTGTATTTGTCATTTTTAGGGTGAAGAAAAAGTTGTGTCAGGGCATACCTGATCCATCCAACAGCACCTTGTCCCGCTGGACCCCTGAAACTAATTTAATGGTAATTTCAAACTGTTGTTTTTAACAGAATCTGACTTTTAATTCTGACATCCTGTGTTTTAGTCTCTTCCACACGTTCAAACTGCTTCACCACAACAAGGTGGCGAGTCACCGACGGCACAAGACCCTTTATATTCAGAAAGGGTTGTTAGCTGCTTCTTTTCAGTTTAAACTAAATAAACTCTCCACAGAAGTAGCAAAACGTCTTTTGCTGACAAGGAAAAAAGTAATTTTGTTTAAAACTCTTAGGATGGGGAACAATACCAATCAGTACACTTTGAACCAGGGTTTTCTTTTTTCCCCTTTTTATTTATTTGCACTGCACAATGAAATACAAAAGAAAACAAAAGAGATAAAATATGGTGACATATTTTAAAATTGTCCTTAAGGAATCTTCCCAAAGGATCAATAAAGCTTTTATCTAATCTAATTTTAAAAAAGTGAACAGGCTCAAGAAGCTTATGTCCCTAAATAAACCCAAATTAATTAGAGATGTCAGACTATGTATGGAGTGAGATTAAATTGGATTAAAGAATATGAGATAAGATTAGATTAACTGAGATTAAAGGAAATTAAACGAGTTTAGATGAAAGGAGAAAAGATGATGCAACATGATAAAATGACATCAAAATATTCAGCGCAGTATGATATGAGACAATATGAGATGATGATGCAATAAAATACAAAAAAATACAATGCAGTGCAAGACGGGACAAGGTGAGGCAATACAATACACAAAATTTAAAAAAAAAAAAAACTAATGATAGTTTGATACATCACATTATGAGACAATACAACACAAGAGAATATGAGAGAAGACAAAACATTATACAAGTTGAGACTATGGGTCAAAATGATACACACAAGGCTTGATGTTTTAAGTTCAAGTTCAAGTAGATTTTATTGTCATTCACATCGCATGTGGTACATGAGGTGGAACTAAATTGTGTACACAGGGTCCCAGTTACATCCAACAATAGCAAAAATATAAAGTATAAAAGAAACAGTACTAATATTCATTCAACCTTTATTTGGAATATCTAAGGTATGAACTAAGAAATATGCTAAACACTTAATACTGCACGGGCTGTTAGGTCCCTGTATGACCGGTGTCAGAGCCTGGTCCGCATCGCCGGCAGTAAGTCGAGCTCGTTCCCGGTGAGAGTTGGACTCCACCAAGGTTGCCCTTTGTCACCGATTCTGTTCATAACTTTTATGGACAGAATTTCTAGGCGCAGCCAAGGTGTTGAGGGGATCCGTTTTAGTGACCTTAGGATCACTTCTCTGTTTTTTGCAGATGATGTGGTCCTGTTGGTTTCATCAGGTCATGATCTACAGCTTTCGCTGGAGCGGTTCGCAGTCAAGTGTGACGCGGCAGGGATGAAGATCAGTTCCTCCAAATCCGAGGCCATGGTCTTGAGCCAGAAAAGGGTAGAGTGCCCTTTCCGGGTCAGGGAGGAGGTCCTGCCCCAAGTGGAGGAGTTTAAGCATCTTGGGGTCTTGTTCACGAATGAGGGAAAAAGGAGCGGGAGATCGATAGGCGGATAGGTGCAGCGTCGGCAGTGACGCGGGTGCTGTACCGGTCTGTCTTGGTGAAGAGAGAGCTGAGTCAAAAGGCGAAGCTCTCCATTTACCGGTCGATCTACAGTACGTTCCTACCCCAGTGACCCAACCCTGGATAAGAGGCAGAAAATGGATGGATGGACTAATACTGAAAATATAACAGCAGCATGGATAATCAGCACCTGTCACCAATTAAAGTGGTATTACAGTGACTTTTTTTTTTTAAACAGTGATTATTCTGGTTAGATATTCATGAGTCTAACTGCTTCAGGGTAGAAGCTGTTCCTCAGTCTAGTGGTTCTACACTTAATGCTCCTCAACCTCCTTCCTGAGGGGAGTGGGGCAAAAAGTGTGTGTGCTGGGTGAGTGGGGTCCTTCATGATGCAGGTGGCCCTCTTCCTGCATCTGGAGGTGTAGATGTCTGTGATGGTGGGGAGACTGACTCCAACAGACTTCTGTGCAGCCTTCACCACTCTCTGCAAAGCTTTTCTTTCTGCAGCTGTGCAGCCTCCATGCCACACGTTGATGCTGGAGCACAGGATGCTCTCCACTGCACACCTGTAGAAGGAGGTGAGGACTGAGCTTCCCAGACCAGCTCGTCTCAGCCGCCTGAGGAAGTAGAGTCTCTGATGAGATGAAGATTCTCAGTCATCCAGGACATGATGAATTCAAAAATTGTTCAATACATAAACAACTGGACTTTATTTGTAACTGTAACAGAAGACGTTTCGCTCCTCATCCGAGAAATTGAGAAAGCTCCTCGGATGAGGAGCGAAACATCTTCTGTTACAAATAAAGTCCAGTTGTTTTTGTATTGAACACTTTTTGAAGTCTCTGATGAGCTTTCTTGATCAGGCTGGTGGTGTTGTTGCTCCAGCTGAAGTTGTCATTCAGGTGCACACCCAAGTACTTGTAGGTGGAGACTATTTCCACCGCAGATCCTCCCTTTTTTCGGGGAGTGGGTAGGTGTGTTTGTTCAGTTTTGAAGTCCACGACCATCTCCTTTGTCTTCTTCACATTGATGTGAAGGTTGTTCTTCCTGCACCAGCTCTCCAGGTGTTCCACCTCCTGCCTGTAGCTGGACTCATCATTGTTTGATGCATCCAACCACTGTTGTATCATCTGCAAACTTTACAATGTGACGACCTGGATGGGTTAGTGCACAGTCATATGTGAGCAGAGTGAACAGGAGGGGGGCTCAACACACACCCCTGAGGGGAGCCAGTGCTGAGTGTTATGGTGGAGGAGGAGAAGTTGTGGATCCTCACTGACTGCAGTCTGTTTGTTAATAAGCCTAGGACCTAGTTGCATATGGAGGTGCTTAGCCCTAGTGTGAATAGCTTTTAAAGTTTTATGACTCTTTTGCTGTTCTCATGTATTTTCACTTCAGACTCAGCAACTGGTGGGGGGACAGGAGAGGTTCGATGTCAAATACTCTGAAGTGAGTTTGCTTGGTAAGCTGCAGGATCCGGAGCAGCACGTCTACCCGCCTGGCTGTCGTCTTCAGAGTCATGCCTCCTTCCTGCTGTCTACAACACCTGTCAAAATAGAAAACACTTTCACCAGAGACCTACCTGGAGACAGTAAATTTCCCATCAGTGATCTTAACACCACTCCCTGCATCTACGCCAGCATTTCCTGCTGTACGCCTGACAACCATATTCCCTCCCCCCTTCTGCCTTTGTTTGATCCAAAATCCGCCGAGAGTCAAACCAGACCCGTGTGCTTAAATGATTTCAAGCTGCCAGCAGATAGAGCCAGTGAGTCGTCTGTTGTCCAACGCTTGGCTCAACAGGAAACCTGCACTCTTCTGGAACAAGGGTCTTTGTCTGATTTCAGCAGAGCTTCCCATCCCTCAGTCTTATTTTCTCATCAGATGAAAGATGACAACCCTAATGCTGCAATGTTTCTAAAAAACGGTGATCCTTCTGAAAGGTTTTGGACATTTTTTCCACATGTTCCTCAACTTGGTGTGGATTTGTCGTACTGCCCTGTGCAGTGTGGTCCTTACATGCCCTATGATGTTTAGGTTCAGGCTCCATGTAGTTAAAAATAAAATTGTATGTACAGTTCTGCACAATTATTAACATTTTTCGTACTTTAGCTGTGAAATAAATCAGACTGAGGGGAAAGGAACAAGTCACCTCAGAAAGTCTTGATGCTCAATAATCTAGGAAGAACAGTCTAACAAGGTTAAGTCAGGTCATCTGGATGGATTCTTTGTTTCAACACAGAATCCATCCAGATGACCTGACTTAACCTTGTTAGATCAACCCAGAAACTGTAAAACATAATTAAATAAATAAAAAGACAGCTGTGTTTTTTTTGTTGTTGTTTTGTTTAAAGATTAATTATTTTTTGTGTTTGTCAAAATATAACAAGTTGTTGAATAATTTATTGTTTATTTTTTATGTCTTACTTTGTGTATGTTTTTAAATGTGTTGTTTCGTCACATGACGTGTGAGCTGTAAATTTAAAGATAAAGGGTTAAAAAGAACACAAACTGCTGCGTTTACCATTGTCTCGTTCTTGATGTTTAAAAGTGCCTGGACTCTCTTTTTCAACATTTTACCACACTCACCATTTTCCTGGACAGTGGACCCCAAGTACTTGAAGTCCTGTACTTTTGTGACCTCTGCTCCTTGTAGCCTCACTGTTCCACCTCCTCCCTCTCATTCACACACATGTACTCTGTCTTACTACGGCTGACTTTCAATCCTCTTATTTCAAGTGCAAACCTCCACCTCTCCAAGTTCTCTTCCACCTGTTCCCTGTTCTCACTACAGATCACAATGTCATCTGCAAACATCATAGTCCACAGGGACTCCTGCCTGACCTCATCTGTTAGTCGGTCCATCACCAGAGCAAACAAGAAGGGGCTTAGAGCTGATCCTTAATGCACTCCCACCTCCACCTTGAAGCTATCGGTCACTCCTACAGCACATCTCACCACTGTCCTGCTGTCCTCATACATGTCCTGTACCAGTCTAACATGTTTTTCTGCCTCCAGATTTCCACATGCAATACCACACCTCCTCCCTCAGCACCCGGTCATCTGGTTTTTCTAAATCCACAAAGACACAATGGAGTTCTTTCTGACCCTCTCTGTACTTCTCCATCAGCATTCTCAAAGCAAAGATGGCATCTGTGGAGCTCTTTCTTGTCATGAAACCATACTGCTGCTCACAGATAGTCACCTCTCGTCTAAGTCTTGCTTCTACAACTCCCAGATCTTCATCGTGTGACTCATCAACTTAATTCCCCTGTAGTTGCTACAATTCTGTACATCACCCTTGTTCTTAAAAATGAGCACCAGCTTCTTCTCCATTCCTGAGGCATTTGAGGAATATCTTACAAAAAGATTTGAAGCTCTCGACCTTGACCTCTCTAAGTGTCTTTAAGAATCTGTTGGACACCTGGCAGGGTCCAATGCTGACATGTTCCTGTTTTTAGTTTTCTACATTTGTCTTGGAATCTAGCTGTTTTTTGTTTTGTTACCTTTTCCTTTTAGCCATCCTATTTGTTAAAAAAACAAAAAAAACTGTAGTATGCTTTTTTATAACGGTTTATTGTTGTTGCTGTTGTCCATTGTTGTCATCTTTCTTTGTTGAAATCAGGTCTCTCTTGTAAATGAGTCCTCGAGGCTCAATGGGATTTACCTGTATAAATAAAGGTTGATTGATTGATTGATTTTCTCACCCTCAAACATGCCATTGATAATTTGAGTCAAAAACTTCACTGCCATCTCTCCAAGACATTTCCAAACCTCCACTGGTGTCATCAGGTCCTACTGCCTTCCCCTTCTTCATTCTTTTCAGAGTTTTTTGAACTTCACCCTCACTAATCTTTCCCACTTCCTGGTCCACAGTTTATATGACCTCTATTCTTCTTTCTCTTTCGTTCTCTTCATTCATTAGCTCCTCATAGTACTCCTTTCATTTTCCCTACATGGTGTCCTCACTTGTTAGAACATTACCATTTCTATTGTTAACAAGCCTAACCTGCTGCACATCCTTTCCAGTCTGATCCCTCTGTCTCGCCGATTGATACAAATCCGTTTCGCCCTTTTCAGTGCCCAGCCTCCCATACAACTCATCATACGCCTTCTGCTTTGCCACTTCCCTCTTTGCTCTACGTCGCATCTCCTTATATTCCTGTCTCCTCTCTTCAGTTCTCTCACTGTCATGTCTTCTTGGCTAACCTCTCTCTGAATATCTTACAGCACATAACTATTCCACCACCGGATTTCCTTATTATCCATTCTCTGTCCAAATGTCACACCACCTGTCTTTCTAATTACTGTTGTTGTAGTAGTCCAGTCATTTGGAAGCTCTTTCTTACCACCCAGAGCCTTTAACAGCTCCTCTCTGAACTCCTCACAGCATTTTTCCTTCCTCAGCTTCCACCATTTGGTCATCTTCCCTGATTTTACTTTTTTCTTCTTCACAACAACAACCGTCAACCTAAAATGCTTTTTTTTTCTTTAAAAAAAAAAAAAAGTTAAATATTTTGTAAAGGGGTGGCACTGTGGAGCTGTTAATAGAGCTGCCGCCTCGGTGAGAAGGCCCCAAGATAGAATCTCAGCCAGGGGACCTTTCTGGGTGGAGTTTGCATGTTCTCTCCGTGCATGTGTGGGTTTTCTTCGGGTACTCCAGTTTCCTCCCACAGACCAAAAACATGCATGTTAGGCTGATTGGTAACTCTAAATTGTCCCTAGGTGTGAGTGAGAGAGTGAATGTTGTCTCGTTTGTCTCTATGTGGGCCTGTGATGGACTTGTGACCCGTCCAGGGTGTACCCCGCCCCTCGTACAGTGATTGCTGGACATGGGCACCGGCGACCCCGTGACCCAAAATGGAAGAAGCGGGTAAAAGATAATGGCTGGATGGACACACCTATTATCTTTACCGTCTTCCTTTTCAAGTTGCAGGACTGCTGGTGCTCATGTCCAGCAGTCAATCTGCACCTCACAACCATCCATTCAACCTTTATTTAGACAGGTTAATCCCATTGATCCTCGGGGACTCATTTACAAGAGAGTTGATGAAACAAAAAAGCTGCATTAGCAAAAACCGCAACAACAACAGGAAAACAATAATATTCAGCATTCACACTACAAATAGGTATTGTTAACATTATTATTCATTTTAATCAGGCTAATCACTGTTAGTCAAACACCTCCACTGAAGATTAAAGAACAGGAAATAAAGGCAAGTGGTGAGAAAGTTGAGGGGGGTTCTTCTCACAGGAGATCTGAGCCTTTTTGATGGTCTCGCGCATAAAGCCGCGCCCCGGCCGTGGAGGCGGGGACAGAGCGCGTGCACTGTCAGCACACCTGAAACAAGCAGACAATCAGCTGTGGGCAGGTACACGGAGCAGAGGAGCCGGAAGGACTGGGGTGTCGGAGCTTTTCCACTCGCAGGTGTTCTGACCGCACGTGCGCCACCTGAACGCGCTCGGTTTGTGAAAGAGAGGCAGCCGTGGAGGAAACATGACGGACCGAGGGAAGAAGCTGCTGCTCGTCGTGGTGGACATCGCCTGCGTGTTTGTGGGTAAGTGTCTGCTCGTGCTGCGGACAACATGGCGGAACATAAAACACCTGGAGCCGCTCAGCTCTCACATGAACAGTCCTCACGCGCACGTTGATCAACAACACACTGTTGATTTAGGATTTGTTACAGATACAGCACGTGTTTCAAGAAGCAAGAACTGTTCCAAAAAAAAAAAAAAAAAATCAGCACATCTGGTGCATAAATTGCTGTTTTTAAACTTTTTCAAAGCAGTTTTTTTTTTATCTGTTTGAGCAAGCTGAGCAGACTGTTTCCCAACCCTGAGTGGGATTGTTCCATGTTTATCATGGGAGACACGGATTTGATTGCTTCACTGACGCAATCGGAGATAAGAGAACTTCTCTCCTGTCCACTGCTTTATGAAGTGCATGCTGTTAGATCATCTCATGAAGCACCACATGGGTTTGATTCAAATGCTTTAACTGAATAATGTTCAAAATGGCCGTCACCTGCAACCTCAACAAACACAAACAGCCTCTAACTATTAATTTGTCAGGTGTTGGACTGAAGGCTGACCATCATCCTCATCCTCTCAATGTAAAAGTAGGTTTACAATAAAACAGATCTGTCAATGAACTTCTTTCTTCACAGTGAAAATCAACTTGTGTTCGTGTGCATGCCCTGTCTTGTATGAACTGTTTGTGTTCAGAGCCATTGTTGCGTAACTTTTGAGACTTTAAAGACTTTTAGTTTTTTGTTTTTTGGAGGGGGGGTGCTGAGTGGACTCTGCCTGCATCATGAACAGAGACTTGTGGAGACTTGTTAACACAAAGCCAGTCATCAGCGTCTTACAGCTGTTTGCATCATCGCATACAGAGGTTGATCCTGAGAGGATGTTGGTTTGAAAGAGTCCCCCCCCCCCCCCCCCACACACACACGTTACATTTGTGTATTTTATTTTTGTGTGCTCCATCTGTTAACCGACACAAAGGAATGATAATTGTTCTATCCACAATGTTTTCATTTTGTTAAATACCTCCCGGTTTAAACAAACAAATGGGTTGAAATCCTTCAGCGAGGGGGGGGGGGGGTATATGATGACTTCTTCTTTAGCTGTTATAATTAAAGGGGGAACATGTTTAATACGATGAGTTAGTTCATCATGTGAAAGTTGTGATGACTTTCATTTCTTTCTTGGCAAGTTCACTGTACGTAAAAAGTGAAAACTTTTTTTAACGGTAAAATAGTAAATTTTTAACAAACATAAAGGTTTGAACCCTGTTTTAGTTTAAAACTTGTGATTTTATTTATTTTATTTAACCATCACATCCCATTGAGATCACAAATCTCATTGCAAGGTAGGCCTGGACCTGAAGGCAGCCTAACTTTTTTTTTTTTTTTTTTTTTTTGTCTGAACGTAGTAAAAATGGTTTTGACCAGTTGACAGACATTTTGGGAGTTGCTTCAGCTCATGGGTCTCTGTGATATACTAATTTATTTTTGCTTATAATGATGAAAATCTTCACCTTTTTAATTCAGAACAAAATAAATGAAAAAAAAAAAAAAACCTAAACTTAAACTCGTATATTAAGTGTGCTGGTCATAAAATTAGAATATCATGAAAAAGTTAAAGTAATTCCATTCAAAAAGTGAAACTTGTATATTATATTCATTACACAGACTGATATATTTCAAATGTTTATTTATTTTAATGTTGATGATTTTAACTGACAACTAATGAAAACCTCAAATTCAGTATCTCAGAAAATTAGAATATTACTTAAGACCAATTAAAAAATGATTTTTATAAATGTTGGCCAACTGAAAAGTATGAACATGAAAAGTATGAACATGTACAGCATCAATACTTAGTTGTTGCTCCTTTTCTCTGGATTACTGCATCAATGCGTTGTGGCATGGAGTGGATCAGTCTGTGTCACTGCTCAGGTGTTCTGAGTCCAGGTTGTTCTGATAGTGGCCTTCAGCTCTTCTGAATTGTTGGGTCTGGTGTATCACATCTTCCTCTTCACAATACTCCATAGATTTTCTATGGGGTTAATGTCAGGTGAGTTTGCTGGCCAGTTAAGAACAGGGATACCATGGTCCTTAAACCAGGTACTGGTAGCTTTGGCACTGTGTGCAGGTGACAAGTCCTGTTGGAACATGAAATCTGCATCTCCATAAAGTTGGTCAGCAGCAGGAAGTTCTCTAAAACTTCCTGGTAGACAGCTGCGTTGACCTTGGACCTCAGAAAACACATTGGACCAACACCAGCTGATGACATGGCACCCCAAACCATCACTGACTGTGGACACTGGACCTGAAGCAACATGGATTCTGTGCCTCTCCTCTCTTCCTCCAGACTCTGGGACCTTGATTTCCAAACGAAATGCAAAATTTACTTTCATCAGAACAGATCTTTGGACCACTCAGCAGCAGTCCCAGGCGAGACGCTTCTGACGCTGTCTCTTGTTCAAGAGTGGCTTGACACAAGGAATGTGACAGCTGAAACCCTTGTCTTGCATAAATTTGTGCGTGGTGGTTCTTAATGCACTGACTCCAGCTGCAGTCCACTTGTTGTGAATCTCCCACACATTTTGGAATGGGTTTTGTTTCACAATCCTCTCCAGGGTGTCGTTATCTCTGTTGCTTGTACACTTTTTTTCTACCACATTTTTTTCCTTCCCTTCGCCTCTATTGCCCCATTTGCACTGCCCCTAATCAGCCCCAGCTCTGCTCAGCCCTGCACACCCCTACTCAGCCTGGCTTGGCTCAGCCTGGATTTGCACCTGCACTTTAGGACCGATTCTGGAGGCGTGTCCAGAAGCAAAGTCCTGCTTATGAGAGTTCTGCGATGAGTTACTCAAAGCACTCTGCTCCTCGGATAATTTAATATTTATTATTTTTAAATATGAATATTTCGGTTCAGTGCCCTGAGACAACTTCTGTTGTGACTTGGTGCTGTATAAAATAAACTGAACTGAATTAAATCTGATGAACCAGATTCTACAAAAACATTTTTATTTAAATCTGAAAAAAGTCTGGTCCTCTGGACATTCAAATAAAAACAAAAAATGTAGAAACGTTTTTTCTTTCATCCGAAAGACTTCTTCAGTCTGAGGAGCTGTATTCAGCTCATAAATAGCTATTTATATAAGACTGAGCTGGTCATAAGCTCAGAGGTGACAGGGCTTTCTCTGTTGCAGGTCCACGACTGTGGAATGAGTTGCCACTGAGTGTCCGGCAGGCTCCCACACTTTCAGTCTTTAAGTCTCGCTTGAAGACCCACTTCTATTCGCTTGCCTTTAACACGGTGTGATTTGTTTTGGTCCGGTCTGTTCTCTACTCTGTTGGCCATTTTAGTTAGCTTCTGCTGCTATTTGTATCTATTTCTATTTTATGTTTTCCTGTCTGCTGTGCATGTTTGTGTTCTTTTGTACAGCACTTTGGTTGGCCTTGTTGCTGTTTTAAGTGCTATATAAATAAATTGGTATGGTATGTTGTAATGCATCCTGAATGCTGTTATCACCGTTGGTTTACCTTACTTATATACTATAAGGGGCAGCTGTGGCTGAGTGGTTAGAGCAGTCGTCCTCCAATGCGAGAGTTGGGGGTTCGATTCCACCAGCAGTCACATGCCCAAGTGTCTTTGGGCAAGACACTGAACCCCTCATTGCCTCCGATGTGTGTCCCATCGGTGTATGAATGTGATAAAGCACTGATTCTTTGTACAGATCTAGTAGAGTGCTGTATGAATGGGTACATGACACAGATTGTAAAGTAATTTGAGTATCTTGATAAGATTGAAAGGTGGTTCAGTCCATTTATTATTTATATCTACACTATCTTACTATATCTATGTCTACAATCATGTTTTGAAGACCTTAAAACCTGGATGACCCTTAATTTTCTCCTGTTGAACACAGACAAAACTGAAGTTTTAGTTTTTGGACCTGAGCATTTTAGGAATACATTTTTCAGTCTTTTGCTTTCTCTGGATGGCATTAATCTGTCCTCCAGCTCTAATGTTAAAAATCTTGGTGTTGTTTTTGATCAGGATATGTCTTTTATGCCCCACATTAAAAACATTACTAGAACTGCCTTCTTCCACCTGCGTAATATCACTAAAATTAGAAACATCTGATCTAAAAATGATGCAGAAACTGGTCCATGCATTTGTCACGTCTAGACTGGACTATTGCAATGGTTTATTATCTGGGTGTCCAAATACTTCTTTAAAACGTCTTCAATTGATCCAAAAAGCTGCTGCCAGAGTCTTAACTGGAGTTAATAGGAGAGATCATATTTCTCCAGTTTTAGTTTCTCTCCATTGGCTCCCTGTCAAATCCAGAATAGAATTCAAAATCTTACTAACCTACAAAGCTCTCAACAACCTAGCTCCATCTTGTATTCGAAATATTGTTCCATATTTTCCTAATGGAGCACTTTGCTCTCAGACTGCAGGCTTACTTGTGGTTCCTAGAGTTTCCAAAAGCAGAATGGGAGGAAGATCTTTCAGTTATCAGGCTCCTCTCTTGTGGAACCAACTTCCAGTTTCTGTCTGTGACACTGACACATTGTCCAGTTTTAAGACTGGGCTTAAGACGCTTTTTTTGCTAAATCCTATAGTTAGCTCAACGACAGACTGTCCATGAACATTTTTGTGGCAATGTTCACTTTGTTGCAGCCCCATTAACAGTACATTTTTATAATCTAGTTTATTTATCTGGCACTAAGTAACAGAAGTCATCTCAGGACACTGAACAGAAACATTCACATAAAAAGTTAACATTATTTATCTGAGGAGCAGACTGCTTTGAATCTTAAACTTTGTCGCAGACGTTCATCCTGAGCATGAAGGCGACAGTGGAAAGGAAAAACTCCCTCATGAGGAAGAAACCTTTAGCAGAACCAGGCTCAGGACAAGCGGACATCTGCTTCAACCAGTTGGGTTTGAGAGGAACAGATACACAATGGCAGGTCAAGGATCACATGTTAAGATAGACATAGTATCAAATGAAAACTATTCAATGTAAACAATT